AGAAACTACCCATTGGTAGAACTCAAACTAAAGTTCTATATTAGAAGATCTCGAGGCCATCTTCTTTTCAGACGCCTCGGAGGGTATCAGGGATCGAGGAGGAAGCAAGATTTGAAACGAGAGGATTCGGATGGTTCTGCAGTTTGTTATGGAAGGAAAGGTATCTGGATTGGGCAAGATCGGAAACATATGGAACATTAAGGTCTTTATGGATGATCTTATTTGTGACAAATTAAGGAGCGTTGAGGATTTTACGAAGGATTTTGGATTGTAAGGATTGGATACGAGAGGAATTCGATGGTTTAGTGGAACCCCAAAGCTCAATTCCGTAAGTCCAAATAGGTCTTATTATTGTCATATATACGAGTCGTTTATAAGTGATTGAAAGCTTAGATCGTTTGTCTAATTACTTAATATTAAATTTCATTTCTTCATTAACTAGTTGTTTATTTCATTACTTAGTAAAATTTTGCTTTATTCCTTTGTTACCGTTACTTTATAACTTTCTATTAACAATTTTTATATATCATTTACATCACATATTTCCCATTCACTAGTTATTACTTTTATTTTCACTAGTCATACATACTGGTCTAATTTATTCAAAATGAAAATATTTCACATTGTATCAGAAGATCCATTATCCTGTTCTTAATTTTTTTAAATTTATTACATATCATAATATTTGATATGTATTTTTATACCTTACCATTACATATAATACTTCTATATTTTAATTCCGATCCACACCTTAGAATGTATTTAATAGCAGATAAAACACACAGATATATGTATATCTATCTATCTATCTATCTATCTATCTATCTATCTATATATATATATATATATATATATATATATATATATATATATATATATATATATACGTATATACATATATATATATTAAACCATATTATCTACAATCTACTATTTCTTAAACATTACAATATTATTAGTTTTAGTATTGAAATTGTATGAAAGGGAAACGCACGTCATGAATGCCTTGAAGCGTAAATCACGGATCAGTGAGATCTATGAATGGCAACAGTCTCCTTTGTCCAGAAGAGCATTATAATGAAAGTGAACCAATTCCTTTATATACAGTTAGGTTTATCTTTACAAATATTTCTACACATAAAAGCGCTGAAACATGGCATTTCGGATTCCATAATTATGTTTTTCCAATATGTATTAGCTTTGCAATAAGAAATAAAACACAGTAGATAGTATGAAAAAGTCGTATATGTCAACAACCAAACAACTTATATGAATATTAATAATTGGTATAAGGAGAGTTCAGTGAGTGAGGCACTATGTTGCTACTATGCTCCAGGTTAGAGTTTGGTTGGGGCAGGTAATTATTAATTCTTTTATATCAGCTGTGGATCGACCCTGGTGTCGGAGAATCCTTCTTTTTCAAATCCAACCTTAAAGGGCAACAACTGGAGGTTGGGCATAGTCTAGGTCCAATCAATTACTTCTACAACCGTTTAAAACAGCTAACTAGTGTTGCCCAAAATCGGTCTTCTTGAAGACCAGAGCCTGCAAGATTTGCAAGACTACAAGGCTGTCCTGCAAGACTCTTGCGGTCTATTTCCAGATACAGTACGGTGCTTAAACATTTTAACGGTGCCTTACATCTTGTTTTTCTTGTTGAATTGTATATTTGAGTATAGCTTTCAAGTAATAACAAAAAATTATCATTTTCTAGGACCGGAGAAAGATAGAACAAAAAAAGTGTTTTTTATGTATAAAAATTAAGATAAACTACTTATAAATACTTGATCATTTTAGTTACTTTAGTAAAACCTCTCAGAATTGGACACTTACGGGAAATCAAAAATTGTCCCCTATAGAGGGATGTCCGTTTTAGAAAATTTGAATGGATAACATGATAAAAAATATATGGAAAATTAAAATTGATAATTCATAAATCGTGAAAATAAAATCATTTTTTCGATCAAAAATAATTATTTTAAATTTACAATTTAAAAATATTTGTATGGGGAAATATATCTTTTTACTTTCACTTACCAGTAAATGTAATATATAGTGAGAATAAGTATTGCGATCGTGAGCATTTTCAAATCTGAGTATTCAAAGTAAATACACGTTTTGAGATACCCTGAGTCTAAATAACCGAGTCTCGAAAAATGGTCGTGTGTATGTGAACACTCCTGCTCGAAAACGGAAAGTTGTAGGAAACTGATACGACGTATTTAAGATAGGTATATCCCTTAGATGTCCTCGCAACTTTTCCCTTAAAATCGGCTAACCTGAAGTACCACTTTATATCAACTGTGAAACACATTTTTGCAATTTTCTCAAAAACGGCTCTAAAGATTTTGATTAAACTCGGTGTATCATTGTATAATAAAATGGTCTTTAATACCATTTAGGTCTTATCCCCGTTGATGTCACTTTACAGGGCTTAAATTCCCAATGTTCATATACATCTTCCTCTAAATTACATTTAATATGGTCCATTTCATATAATTAACTATCTCTTATTATTAAAAATTACTAAAAAATGCTAAATATAACTTTTGGAAGAATTCGATAATTGAATAAAGGAGAAAAAATAAAAATGCTTATCCAGATCGAAAATGAATCTCCGGCAATACTAGTCAGAACGTTTACGTATAACATATCGCTGAAAAGCGAAGAATTTTAGAAAAAACAATACCTAATATAGAAAGTTGTAGAAGGTAACGGAGAGCGGCGAAAAAATTATAAATAATAATTTTTGAAAATTAATAATATTTAACGTAAATCATGTTTTCAAAGGAATTAAATGATATTTACTGACTAAACTTTTAAAATATTATTAAGTTTGAAAAAATTATTTAAAATCCACCTAATCAAGGCAATGACATTTTGCTTAAAAAAACATTTCATCGTACTTGTGTGAAAGATGAAGTAATATATAAAATCATTTCATGGAAGTGTAAAGTATATGTTTATAACCTTAAATACATTTACTGTAGTTTAATAATTCTAGATCTGATATATTTAAATAATTAGGTATCAACGTCCGTTTATTCCGAAATATTGTCATGTAACTTTTTGGAAAATTAAGTTAGTGAATAATTTGATTAATTTTCTCTTTGTGAAATCCCAACATTATCATGTCTTCCTCTAATGTACCTTTGATTTGGTTTATTATAGATAATAACTATTTATCATTGTTAGGAGTTATGGAAAAATACTAGATATAACTTTTGGAAGAATTTGATAATTAAATATAGGAGAAAAAAACTTATTCAGGTTGAAGATGAATTTTCAGAATTAATAGTCAGAAGATTACGTATAATATATCGATAGAAAGAGGAGAACTAAAAAAAAACAATATATAATATAGAAAGTTATAGAAGGTAACGAAGAGTGACGAAAAATATATAAATAATAATTTCAAAAACTAACATTACTTAACGTAAGTGGGGTGTTTTAAAGAAAATTAAATGATATTTGCTTACTAAACGTGAACTTAAATTTTTTTTTTAAGTTTGAAAAAGTATTTAAAATCCATTGATTCAAGGCAATGACCTTGTTTAAGATACTATTCCATTGTACTTGTGTGAAAGAAGAAGTGAAATATAAAAATATTTCGTAGACAGGTTTTTTGACGCAAGACCAAGACCGCCTCGGTCTCGTCTTGGCTTTGCGTTTGAGCAATACTACCCCTAACTGCTAACTAAGACTACTGATAGATTTTACATACGTCTTCTGCAATTTTGGATGTTATCGAATATCAGTTGCACTTTTCAATTTCTAAAACAGCCATTCATGCACGTGTACAATTGTAAGTGCATAAGATAAAGCAAGATCTATAAAATAAAGCAGATTTTCTATTATAATATACCATCAGAGGCCGAAGAATGAATATTTTTTGGAAGGTCGTATGCATGGCCAGAAAGGTTCATTTTGCTCGAAGGTGTGCATAACATGTTTTGGCTAGGCAAAATTAGTAGACCACGGAAGAAATATTTAATGGAGAAAAACGAAATTCAAAGTTGGCCATGACTTTTTATTTCTAATTGTAATACATATTTAATAGGATCAGAACCAAGGCAGTGATGGTGGCTGTGTTCAGACCTCATAGCCTTCGGGACTTCGAGACTAGTTCGAATCCCAAGGAGACGGAGATATTAGCAAAACGCCATTCCAGATGTGTAAAATAATATGTGATGGGAAAGAGACCTGAAGGTCATTTTAATTCTCAGATAGCGAACAAATGAGTGTAATCAATTCCGTTGCATGTTTTATCAGCTTTCATTTTAAATATAGAATATTATAATCGCGAGAACGCAGAGTTTTCCTGATACTAGCGGATAACGGAGAACATGAATTTTTGAATCCTAAATTCAAAGGTTTGATATGAAATTTTCGAGTATGGAGTAGCTAACTATTATTTCATATCTTAGGATGGTAACTGCTATAAATCTGAAGAGTTTGAAGAGTTGAAGAGTCCGGCTAAATAACTCTATTTGTCAAATTGTGGTGAACCAGGATATGGCTTGAATTTTTTTTCTGCAAATTGGAGAGGAACGTAAATTTTTTTATGACTTTTTCAGAAAATTTTTTAAATATCATCTTTCATGCTAGTTGACGTTAGATTTTTAAATTTTTATATTTTTTGCTGATAAAACATCATATGTGAGAAATGAAATATGGCGACGAACGCAAGCAACCAAACAACACGATTTAAAATCATCTTTCTTACATTGTAGATAAATACATTCACTAATGTATTTTCATTCCCGCAATATATATTTGGTTTTTAGCAGAAAAGGCCCGATTATTGATGAATTAAATATTATAAGGCTCATTATGATCATTTATGAAACACATTTGTGTAAATGTTTTGTTTGGCTTAAGGCAGGCAAACAGGTTACAATGAAATAAAAACTTTTTTATTATGAAAATCCAGCGCTATAGGAGTTTAGGTTAAGTAGACATAAATTGTATAAATACAGTATAAAAATAACAATAACGACAATAAGAGAAAATCATCTATAATATGATTAAGGTTTTATGACAGTAGATGTAAATATAAGGCGGATCGGCAGTTATCATTAAGACATAAGAAATCGTATGCTTCTCTTGTTTTTCATACTTTTCTTTTAGAACAAGCTATTTTATTGTAATAAATCGTAAAAATGATATTATTATTGATATATATTTCTTAATTAATATATTAAGATTACAGTAGCTACAAATTTGTATAATGGTAGCAATGGCAATATAATATAAATGGCAATAATTGAAAACAATAAATTATTTGTATTACTCATATTTGAGGTAGTGTTAAATGTAAAAATAAATAGATTAATATGAAGAATAGTTCATCAAAAAATCATTAGAATGTCTCATCTGGAAGATTTTTGCTGTGCCCAGCTTTACCTATCATTTCAAGTAAAGCATTTGCTGACTGTCGCCTTGCCATAACCAGGTCTGAAGTCCTTTTTGAGTTTGGCGAGTCCTCTTCAGGCTCTCCTATTCCCCAGATTTCGAGCCTGGTGAACCTAAATTCGTATTGTGATGCAAGGCGTACGTAATCTCCGAACGTGGTGCACGTTTTAGATACACTTCCTAGGCCGTAATCCGAGCTCAAAAAGAAACCAAAGTAATTCAGCTGTCCACCCATACCCAAGCCGTTCGGGAGTGTTGCTGCCCCGTCGTTCATATATTGGAAATTTTTGTTATATCCTGTAGGAGTACAGACGATCATCTCCGGTCTAAGTCTGAAAAGGAAACACTGATCATCGCCGTAGAAATTGGGACTAATCTTCCAGGATTGAGAAGCATATCCCCCAAAAAGAGGCCCTGCAGCGTCTTGTATCAGGATCACTGTTGGTCCTTGTTGATCGATTTTCCTGTGAATTATGTTCCATGAGCTGGCATCTGTTGAAGAGCAATACAAAAGCCTCCAGTCACCTTCGCCGCTTGTATGAGTAAGATGTGATAATGCTAGAGCTGTTGGTACCCTAAGGAGGCCAGACATCACATCTAATCTTGGAAGTACTGGCAACAATTGTTCAATATCCATGTTGAAAGCATAATTCATCACTGACTCGAAAATTCCAGCATAGAAAGTACATCGAAGAAGCCACATCTCCAACTCGCTGCTTCCAATCTTTCCATCAATACAGTTGATGTTGTTTATCAAATACTTGGACACTATTGCCAAGTCACTTTTCTCTGTCAAGTCTGCAGTCACCCAAACAGAGAAAGTTTCAGGATGTTTCTGTCGCAGTATCAACATGTATGACTCTATAAGATGCGATATATACATCTGGAAAGTTCTGGGTGGTATGCTGTCTCCTATCCCTAACAAGGTGATAAGTAATTCTGCTCGCTCCCGGGCTGTCCCTACAACCAAATTGTAGAAAAACCATTCCATATTATCTATATTAATTTCTTTTGATGTCTTAAATAGAAACTTGAGTATTATTGTCAGGAGGCCTTCAGAAAATACACCTCTCCAGAGGTTCTGCAATGTCTCATTTGTGACCAGTGTCTCTCTCCCCCTACCTCTGACGTCAAACAACTTAAGGATATTTGTTTTCTGTTTTTCTGTAAGGCCTGAATCCACAATCTTTCTCTTGCTATCCGAAACCCCCATCTGAAAAATTCAGACAAGTTTTAATCTAAAAATGATTGGTAAACTTTTTCTATATTCCGACTAAGGCATTATCTAAAAAAAAGTATCATTGTAGTTATGTCACATACCAGTCACTAGTATCACTTCGTAAATTAGCCATCCTTAACAGAGCTTTTAGAAGGTACCCGATATTTTTAGTCACATGTTTAATTTGAAACATGATGTGTACTTATTAGGTTTGATGAAGAATAATAATAATTGTTGAATTGTATTAATTTTCTTACCTTGATTTATAAATTATATTCTTTGTTCTTGACCATTCAGTTGTACTAAATTGTCCATGAATGATGTTTCTATCCATTAGTTCTTGGTTATGTTTTGAAGAAGTCTATGATTTTGTGTTATATTATTACATCCTAATTTGATTATGATTATGTTTATAACACGTTATTGCTTTTTAGTTGGCATTACATAGTAACTTGTAAACATATAATAAATATTCAATACAACTAATAAATGGTTTTAAATTGATCTATATCTCTCAACATTCCTCTAAAATATTTGTATCATATGATTCATTCACTTCAATTTATTTAATCGAAAGTGGATAACATCATAGCAAAACATAATACAAACTGTTCTCACCCAAAAAATAATTTAATTAGTTTATAAGTTCACGTTGCAAGCGTATGTATAATTTTATTCTGTATGATTGTTTATATAAACACTATTTATTTTTCATTTGTACTATGTTAGTTGAAGACAATCTTGTTCTTATTATTGACATCAGAAAACATCGCTGTTATCAGAAATTGTTCGGTTATTAACTGTCATGATGTCATATGGGTATTAGCGTTGCCCGAATGCAACTTAGAAGAACCAAAATACCAATGTTTGCTGACACAATACCCAGACCAAGACCGCCTCGGTTTCATCTTGGTCATGGTATTACGTCAGCAAACATTGGTCTTTTTCTTCGTCTTGGTCTTGCACACTCAATCTTGAACTGGGTCTTGCGCAAGAGTCTCCCAAGAGTCTTGCAGTTACCTACTAGCTTATTGCTATTTATTAAATATGTTACTTCAGATTTTAGAAAAAAGCAACAGAATAGGTACATTGAGATGTTTTAATTACATAACCATAGTAAAGTCCAACCAAATTAATAAAATTAACTTTACAAAACATTATATACATTAAGGCATTGTCAATAAGGATAGTGATAACTCCCGTCCCTCTACCAGATTGGAATGGAAGAATTGTAGAGTAAAGACAATCTATACATTGTTACCAATGTTTATTATTAAAACACTTTATTCAGAAATATTACAATTTGTCACAGTTTAAGGACACTTATAATAGATTTCAGAGATTGCATTCATACCGTATATACAAAAATATAAATAAATAAAGTAATAACAAAAGAATAAGAAAAAAGAACAAAAGAGTAAAGAAAAAAAAATATATATACACATAAGTAAATAAAAATAGAAATAAAAGTAAAACAAACACCTTATATAAAACATACCTATATACATTATTTACAATTTGCCAGGTGATCTCCGAACCAATCCTGTCCCCTCCACATGTGGAAGGAAAAGGGAGGCTTAGGAGATCCCTACGCTTCTCCCTCAGCCACTTCACTGGTATTTTAAACCAGCGGAGGATGAGTAAGAGCGCTACAGCCACAGACACTCATGACTTGAGTGTAGAATCTGGCCATTGCTAGAACTCCAAAATATCCATATTTACAAAAGGTCTCGTGGCCACTGCCACTTTAACCTACGAAGGGGATTGTAGGGATGGGTGGTGCTTGATAGGGATTGTACAACGGGATTTGGGTGATGAGAAAGGTTCTGGTGAAATTTGGAAAATTTGGCTGGGATAAGATCAAGAATAAATGGGATATTAAGGTCATGGTGTAGGGTTTTAATGGTTACATAGAAGGGAGCATTGTCTATTTTACGGAGGACTTTAGACTGAAAGGATTGAATGCGTTTGATGTTAGAAAATTTGGCTGTTCACCATAGTTCTAGTCCGTAAGTCCAGATGGGTTTCAGTATTGTCTTGTAGATCAGTAATTTGTTTTCACCAGAAAGTTTAGATTTTCTATTCAGTAGTCTATATAGCTGGCCATATCGTCAGCTGTTAAGTTCCTGTCTTTTAAGTCTAGTATGTGGATTCCATGTTAGTCGTCTGTCTAAGAGAAAGCCAAGACACCGGACTGTATCTGAGAAAGGAAGCTGGATGGAGTTAAAATAAACTGGTGGGCAGGTATTACGCCGAAGGGTGAAGGTAATGTGTTTACATTTAGATTCGTTTACCTTGATGCGCCATTTCTTACACCAGTGTTCAATCAGGAAGAGGTGCCTTTGTAAGTTTGCGGACGCTGTTTCAGGATCTGATTTGGAAGAAAGGATAGCAGTGTCATCAGCGAAAGTTGCCAGAAGGGTATCGGGATGGACAGGAATATCAGCGGTAAAGAGAATGTAAAGGATGGGGCCCAAGACGCTGCCTTGAGGAACGCCAGCCTCAATTGAGTAACAGTCGGAGAATTCGGTGCCACAGCGAACTCGGAAGGAGCGGTCGGAAAGATAGGATCGGAGTACTAGGTATAAGGACTGTGGTAGGTGGATTTTAAGCTTGAAGAGTAATCCGGCGTCCCATACCCGGTCAAAAGCTTGCGCTATGTCCAGAAATGCACCCGAGCAATACTGCTTGCTTTCTAGGGTTGAGGGTATATGGTCAACAACTCGGAGTCCTTGTTGGACAGTGGAATGTTGGGAACGAAATCCGAATTGATGAGTAGGAAGGTTATAGGATTCAATTATAGGTAGGATTCGTTTCAGTAGGATCTTTTCAAAAATTTTTGAGAGGATTGGGAGTAGGCTAATTGGTCTATAGGATGCTGTATTGTTGGAAGGTTTGCCTGGTTTCAAGAAGAGGACGATGGTGGAATGTTTCCATAAAAGAGGGAAGTGGTTCGTACGATGCAATTGTATATATATATGTAAGAAATATAGGGGGGGGGAATGTAGGGGAGCTTTAGATGGAAGTTGTCGAAGGATCTGTGGGGTTAGAAGGTCATATCCAGGAGATTTGCGAGGAGTGATTTTCCGTAAAAGGTATTTGACCTCAGAGGGATTAACAGCCTTAGGTGGTAAGGAGAGTGGGATAGGTATTGAGAGGGATTCTTCTACTTTTACTGTGTGGCTGGGATGGGATTCTGGATGAGGAGTGAAAGTATAGGAAAGGTGTTTGGCAAATTCCTCGGCTTTATCTTCATCAGATGCTGCCCAGGAGCCATCATCTCGTCGAAGAGGGTGGGAAATATGATGGGATTTGAGGATTTTTCTGGTGATATTCCAAAGGGAATTATCATGAGCAGAGAGTGTGGTGAGGTAAGAATTGAATGATTGGGATCTGAAGGTGGCTAATTCTTGTTTTAATTTTTTACAGTGATAATTGTAGGAGTGGCGGTCGGCTGGATGTCTGGTACGTTGCCATAATAATCTGGCACGGCGTTTTATGTGGATTAGGTCAAGGAGGTGTTGAGGTAAATTATGTTTCTTAAGGATTTTTGAGGAGTGATCAGGGTAGGAAGCAGTCCAGACTGCTTCTTGAATTTTGGTAGTGAAGGAATGTACTGCATTGTCCAGGTCTTCAGGGGTTTTCAGGGTTACTCTGAGGTCAATTTTATCGGAGAGGATTTGATGAAAGAGTTTCCAGTTAACTGGGCCTCTGTTACCAATGTTATGTTATTATTTTGGAAAATTCAAAACCAAATAGCATTATTTCTCCAATGTAGGCAAGAAAAATCTGTAAACGTTTCGCTTATTCAGGCAACATCAGGACAGAAAAGAACAGGTAATCGAACATCACTCCATGACATCCAAGTGTATACTCTGCTCCTTAGTTTATTAGAATCCATAGGAATTTTCAAAGCACTATGGATTCTAAAAAAACTTAGGATATTTGGCTTTACTCAAAATCCACATTTTTTTTTTAAATTTTAATTGACCTACACCTGTAATGCACGAAAGCTTTCTCTCCTCTCGTAGATATTATATCTTTGCCCGTGCTGTAACATGAAGCCGCAATTCGTTTAGTTACGAAGTTTACGATTAAATTTATTTTATGTTTCTTTCAGCTAAATTTTGTTTAATGATCGTCCATTGTTGAATCAGAATTAGGTTTTTCCTCACGTAACATGTTACACCTAACTTTAATTTAGCAAGAACAGGAGATAAGCATTTTATGATTAAATATTTTTTATATTTATGAACATAAACTATACTCTATGCATTTTTAAGGAGTAATAAACACAATTTTACCTTTTTGTTGAGTTTTTACTGCACGAGTTTGCATATTTTGTTTTGTATACTGCACGAAAATTTGGTCTCAATTTATCACTTAACCAATTGCTTTGTTTTCTAATTATTAATTATTAAGAGTGGGGAGGGAGAGAGAGCCATATCCCAATCAAAATTAGAGAGGGAGGAAGGATATTTTGCCTTGCCCCCTTTTCCCTATATATCGAAGAAAAAAAAATCAATAAAATTTAATCGAAATGAAAGAATGAAATATTTAAAATAAATACAATCTGAAATTCAGGAAATGCCAATTAGATGGCTTAGCTTGAAGTAGCCATACGGTTCCACCCGTCATTTTTACGTAATGATTTTATCACATCTTCCGCGCCAATTTGAAGCATCTGAGAATTGTGAACTCATGTCACTGTTTAACCTTTAAATAAAGAATAAAATATGTTAAAAAAATTCAATTCGAAAATGGGGAAAAGTCAAATAGATGACTAACATAAAACCTAAAAGTAGGTATGCAATTATTTTACCACGCTCTATGTATCCATTATTGAAATAATTGTTTTTTTTATTTTAATCGCCTCTACCCTAGAGGATCATTGGCCGCTAGTTTTCTTTACTCTATTGTAATATTTGTTCTTTATTAAGTATCGGAATAGGGTGGTGACTACATCTTCGTTGTCTCTCAATATCTCTTTTATTGTTATTGGTAGTTTCAATTCTTGCCGAATGTTGTTGAACCCGTGGCACTCTACTAACAGATGTTGTACTGACTGCGGTTTATTGTCACACTTTTGGCGCGTGGGTGCTTCTAGTCCTCTGAGAAGGTACCCGTGGGTAAACAGGCAGTGACCAATTCCTATTCTGCACAATATGGTTTCTTCTCTTCTGGATATTCTTATGCTAATAGCCTACTTGTTGCAGTCTTTTTTATTTCTAATAGTTAAGACTGTTTAGTTTTCCATCTATTTACCCAATTTTCCAACAACTTCTTTTTTGTTGTGTGTACCCAGTCTTCTACAGTAGTACAGTTTATTGAAATTATGGTTGGTGCCTCTCCCTTTCTTGCTAAGTTAGCTGCTTGGTCTGCTCTTTCATTGCCTGAAAGAGACTTGAACCCAGACAAATATCACTCTGACCGTTTTTTTTTTTTTTAATTCCCACCATAGATTCAATATATCCCTTATTATTGAATTGCTTGGCCAAGGGTTACCTATTGCTGCCATGACGCTTTTGGAGTCTGATACTATCATCCATTGATTTT